AGCTAACCAGTCCCAGCTAACCGCTCCCTGATAACCAGTCCCAGCTAACCAGTCCCAGCTAACCGCTCCCTGATAACCAGTCCCAGCTAACCAGTCCCTGCTAACCAGTCCCAGCTAACCGCTCCCCGATAACCAGTCCCAGCTAACCGGTTCCAGCTAACCGGTCCTTGCTGACTGCTCCCAGCCAGCTAACCGGTTCCAGCTAACCCGTCCCTGCTAACCGACCCCAGATAACCAGGCCTTGGTAGAGTCTATGGCTGCGTACCGTATCTCATGCAGTTTCACCACCTCGTTGACCACCACCACCAGCACCGGGGACAAAGAGGCCAGGAGCCAGACCTCCATGGGGATGTTGGCCAGACTGAAGGTCAGAGAGCTACCCTGGTCACGCCACAGCTGGTAATCCACGGTTGCCTGAACACCCTGACCCAGCAATCTGGTAGGAGGAGGTTAAAGGTCAGGAAACAATCTCATGACAGACCTGCTGCACTGAAGGAAGAACGAGCAGGAAGACTTACACCACCGGCACGGTGAGGCACCACCAGGTGTTGTTGAAGGGACTCTTCCTCCACAGAGGTTGTGAGCGGTGGACGTAGCTGAGGGAGATCACCACTGAAACCATTTCAACACAAAGAACAGAAGGTTAGACGCCCAATCAGAACCACCAGCACACAGTCACTGCCCTCCATCTCCACCTGTGTGCAGCACAAGGAAACCGGCCAGGAGCTTCTGGGTCAGCAGGAGGCCGTTGGACAGCTCCTTGAACCAAGGGAGAGCCTTTGGCGACGAGCTGCAGATGCACAAACAGAGAGGAAGTTAGAGTTACTGGATCGCCTCTTCCTCCATGTCTGCAAAGGTTGAGGTGCTGGATTCCGAGGGATGGTGTCCTCTGACCTACCTGGGAGTGAATAAGGAGCTGCAGTCTATTGTGGTGTTGGGGCTCAGGGTGGTGTTGAGGCTGAGGGTGATGTTGGTCCCGGCGGGGCACACCGACTGCAGGGTGAAGCCAAACACCAGCAGGTATGCACACAGGGTGAGGCCAAACTTCAGGAGGAAACAGCCCAGGAAATAGTTCTGAGTCTGAGGAAACAGGAGGTGACAGAATGGTTCGCTTCAATGGAAGACATGACCTGGTCAGCTACACACCATGAGGAATGAGACAATGGGGAACCAACACAGCGGCGTTTAGAAGGTCCTATCAGAACATCCAGAGCTCCATCGCCTGACCCTTAGCCAGAGGAGCTCACCAGGACTGCCTTGGTCCACCTGGTGTTCAGGATCAGGTTGGTCTTGGACGTGTTACCGGTGGTCCGTCCTACGGTGGACCAGCTCATTCCAGAATCTACTGAGGACGTATTGAATTCCCCTTCAGAACCATAAGCTGCTACCATCTTCTCCCTGCTCCACCATGATGTCTCCCACGGCAACCATAAGGACCAACCTACACCTCTAAAAAGGACTGATGGCCATAACGTCCTCCTCATCCATCTCCTCCCTTCCTTCTCTTCTCCGTTCAGTTCAGCCTGGACTGGGAGCTCAAGTATTTTTTATTTTTTTAGACATTAATCAGCTGTTCTTGTTCCTATCAAACTAATGGTTGCCATGGTGATGCATCAAAAGCAAATAGCAGCAATGAGCCTCCCACCACCCAGCACCAAAGAGAAACCGTCTAAAGATTGAAAAGAAAGAAAATAATCAAAGAAAAAGTTATTCAGAGACGGCGCCACCTAGAGACATGCATTGCGAGAAAACACTCAGAGGAAGACCCCCACCTCCTGGAAAGACAGACGCACATTTGGGTGCTTTATTCTTATTCCTCCCATCTGACCAGGCATTATTTGTGGTAAAATCTGCAATCGTTCCACCTGACAGGACCTCCTACCTTTTTAGGGATGGAATCCAAGTTCTTCCCCGTAGCAACAGTCATGACTGAGCTGTCCGGCGGCTTCCCCAGAAGCGACACACTGCCGAAACATTACAGATGTTCAAACAGAGCAAAGCTGCAGCGGATTCATCGTTTCACAGCGTGTGGGGTCGGTGCGTACCTCAATAATGGGCAACTGAAGCAGGACATCCACAGGATGTCAGTGGTGTTCATGGGTGGAGGAAGCTGAGCGAGACAGGCCAGGAACTGCATGAAAACAGGAAACACTTCATCAGACAGAGCCAGCTTCAAACCACAGCAATCCTATGGTTCACCGTCGTACCTGAACAATAACCAGACTGAGCTGACACTGCAGCAGGAACAGAAAGCACTTGCGGATGCCAGACGTCGTGTGTCGCGCCTGGAAGAGATTCAGAATAAATATGAGCTGAAGGTCTGCGCTGGGTGCTCCGGGGGCCGAAACGGGACCAACCTGCTCGATGAGTTTGATCAGGCTGACGCTGTTTCCCTGGTGAAAGGACACAGAGCAGCCCAGGCTGTTCAGCTGTCCTGACAGTCTCAGAGGAGACAGTCCTTCAGCATCTCCGTGAAGTCCTCCTCCTGTGGCGTAGCCAAAGGTCTCCCATGAACACTGAGACGGGTACAGAGGGTCCAGCCCAATGCTGTGGAGCCAAGAGATGGAAGACTTATCAGCAGTCCAGGCAGGTTCAGCACCACTAAAGGAAATGATTCTGCCACCTCTGTACCTGAAGTCGCTCTGCAGAAAGAGGCGGCTGTTCCGGAAATTGGCGGAGCTTCCCAGACAGCAGGTCACCTCACGGTTCTCCTGCATGATCTTCATCATCTCACACATGGCTGCAGAGAAGAAGACAGAGTCCTGGATGAGTGATTAACGCTCCCCGTCTCTGATTGGTTACTGTCTCTCTTTCCACACAGTTCTGGTGTGTCTGCAGGATGAAGACGCCTCTACATCTCTGGATGAGAGCAGTAGAGGGAGGTCTCCACCTCCACACTGAGCCAGTCTGTGTTCCTGACGCCTAAAAGAAGCCACCGTCTAACAGTCTGGAAGAGCAGAGCATCAAACTGAGCCAGACTGCAGACAGTAAGGCCCCCACCCAGAAAGCAAACCCTATTTCAGGTTCACTTTGGCAGAAAAACGTCTTTCTGTTAAACCGCAATCTACCTTCTGGTTTGCTGAAGTGACCAATCAGATTATTCTCTGTTCAAAGTCCGGTCAAACTCTTTTTCTGTTTGCTGACAGAAATGTTTCAAAAACACAAATAAGTTTAAACTTTGCAGGAAAGCGCAGAAAAGAGGAGGAAACGGGACTCACTGTCAGGAGTGCAGTCTGTGAAGAGCGGCACTAAAAGAGGCACGTTGTCGATGTTCTTGAGGTGAGGCCGGACCTGGTGGATCCCACGAGGAAGCTTGGCCTGAACAGGAGCGAACTGTTAAACGCCTCAGACCAAACACGGCTTAGTTAAACTCAGCGAGGCGACCGTTACTCTGTTACAATCCTCCAGGAAGCTGGGCACGTCGCTGTCTGCGGGTTGGAAACTGGCCAGGTCCGACTGAGCCTCCTCCTCCGACAGCAGCGGGCCTTCTGCTTCGTCTCTGGAATCTTCCAAACCAAACAGAGGACAAAGAGCTTAGCTAATTTAGATCTCAGGCTCTGCTGCCGAGGGCTAGTTTAGTTAGACCTCAGGCCTTACTGCCGAGGGCTAGCTTAGTTAGACCTCAGGCCTTACTGCCCAGGGCTAGCTTAGTTAGACCTCATGCTCTACTGCCCAGGGCTAGCTTAGTTAGACCTCAGGCTCTACTGCCGAGGGCTAGCTTGGTTAGACCTCAGGCTCTACTGCCGAGGGCTAGCTTAGTTAGACTTCAGGCTCTACTGACGAGGGCTATCTTAGTTAGACCTCATGCCCTACTGCCCAGGGCTAGCTTAGTTAGACCTCAGGCTCTACTGCCGAGGGCTAGCTTAGTTAGACCTCAGGCTCTACTGCAGACCCCCAGGCAGAGTCTGGCTGATTGAAAGCAGAGCAGG